AAAGTCAAAAGTTTTAATATGAATATTAATTGAATTATAAATTACAAGTATCTCTATCCCGATTCTATTTAATTATTTATATCTATAATAAAAGAATCAAATTAATAATATAATATATAATTAACACAAATAATGAGTATATATAATAATCGATTATAAATACATGACAAGTATCTATTAACAAACATCCTTCCTGTGTAATTAATATAAGAAATATAATAAAAATGTAAATAATAAAAATAAAATTAATAATTTATTTGTCAAACTATTCATTATTTAAATTTTCTTTAAATATAATTGTAATGTTTAAAATATTTAAATACTTCACTAGTTTTACAAGTTTACTCGCAAGACATGAATCTTCTATTGTCACACAAAGACAAAAAAAACTTTGAGACCTTGATTCTTTTCCGCTCTTTTATTAACCTCACTTGAAAATTTTTTACAAAATAAAGAACATGAAAAATAAACAACGTGGAAATTTTGGTGACAATTGATACAAAGCAAGGGTATAAAATAAGGGACTGAAGACATTCAATTCGAGTTTTTATTAGTAAAATTTCAATGTCGATCAGCCAAAATTTCTGGCAAAACGACCTGCCCCTTAATTTTTAGGATTTGCACACTGACTGTTATCCACAAAAAATATCCGCAATCGCCAAATCGATTTCTAAATAAGGATAATACTCACCCAACCCACCAATAAAAATTGGATATTCTGAGGTTTCACGAATTTTGTGGATATTTTTTGTGGATAACTACACGATTATCACTTACATGGGAGGAAATACTCGGACCCAAAGCCATCTATGAGTATTACCTATTTTTTGGGCACTTTGACAAAAATTTAATCTTCACTACTACTATTTCTACTATTATCAATAATATTGTTATTACTAATATTAATATTTACATCGTTGTTTTTTAATCATCCTTTTCGTTTTTTGTTGGTAGAGGCTTTTTATTTTAGAGGCAGCAACATCTTTCCCCTCTGCAATTAACAGGCGAATTTCAATGGCCATTTCATTAAATGAAAAATTTAAATTTTGTAAAATAATTGTTTGGAATCCTTCCATAGATTTCAATCTTTGTGAATATTTTTACCACCAGTAAGTTGTTTAAATTGGCTTTTTCTTGTTTTTATTTTACCAATTATTTGATCGATTTTTTGATTTGTAATGTAGAATTGATTTTTATAAGTTTTATAATGAATTAAGAAACTAAGAAAGAATCCAATTGACAATCTTTAAAATATTATTGTGAATGAAAATATTGTAAATATTTTATTGATTGTTTGGTTTTTAAATTTTGTTTAACAATGATTATTGAAGGTTTTGTCTTTTTACCTGAAAAATAAATGAACTGTGATTTTTTATAATGTTCCAACATAAGGTGGAATTATTTACCTTATTTCAACATCTAACAAAGATTTATAAACATATTCTTGAATGTAAAATTCGTTCAAACTACTTTTTTTTATTGATAAGCAATATGATGATTGTTAATTACATTTGCATAAAGGAGAATTTCCTTTCATCAGTAAAAAGAATAAATCAATATTGTAATAATAAAAATTTTTTTTTCCAAAAGTTTTCGCTTTTTGTTTTATAATTGTATGTTCTCATCCTGCTTTCTTTTTATTATTTTCCTTTCTTCTTGGTAAATTTCATAAAGTAATTCTTTCTTTGTCTTAATATGTTTGCAAGGATTTAGTATCTGCTAATTTAAAAAATATAAGGTGCAATTTTTTCACCTATTCCTTTTTCTAATGGTGCTACAATTTAGCTTCATATTGATTATTTTTATATAGGAGTAATTCTATATATCACTTAATATTAAGGAAAAAAACAAAGATAACAAACAAATGAGAGATTTTAATAATCACATTACTAAATTTTGATCTCTTAAATTCTTGGTAATACCAATGTTCACTTTGTCTGGTTTTGTTGCAGCATGCCTCATATAATAATACTTAAAAAATTAAAATAATCAGTTATTACTGAAAAAATTAGAAATTGTTAAAATTTTGGGGTGGGATGTTTGGATATGAAATTCTGATTAGCTAATTTGAATTTCACATAAGTGAATTGCAAATTCACAGATTTCATTTTCACGCACAACATTTACATTGAATTTTAAAGCTTTTAATTCATTTTTTTATATATTTTTGTTCAAGAAAATTAAAAACAGTTTCAAAAGCTTTACAGCTTCGTTTATTGAAACATTAGGAATAGTCCTTTGCTTCTTTACTGAGCAAATAACCTTGCTACATTACACTGGTTAATCAACCTTCAGAGTTCTATACCATTCTGATAATCAATCTCTAATTTATTTGAATTATTTGAATATTAATTGAATTTGAAAAAATATCACAAATGGCAATGGAATTTATTATAAGTTTTTTGAACTAAGGGAACATTTCACTCCAAAGTTTTCTATAAAACAATTTACATTAACAAAATATACATATATAAATTATGAAATTCTAATCTTCCTTCGCCTATTTGTAAAATGATCAAAATTTGGGATGACTTTTGGTAGGTGCAATTTTTATAATGAAATGTAACTTGGATATTCAATATTAATTACAAATAATTCAAATAATAACGTAGAAAACTTTAAAACATGTAATGCCATTTTGTCTCATGAATTGAATTTATTTGAATTCATTATTTACCTTTACAATTTAGAGATAGCATAATCCCTTTCACTAAGCTGAGTAATTATTTTTGCATAATAGTAATTCATAAATATCTGTTTATTTATTACCATTATTATCAACATAACAACAATACTGCCTATTTTTATCATCATCAAAATCACCACAACCTTGACCTTGGAAATGATGTTGAATATATAATAATAACAAATAAATTAATCATGCATGAATTCTGTTCAGAACCTTTGGAATCATTTTTAGATTCATATAATTTTATTATATGCTTTATAATCAATCACTTATCAAAAGAAAATTCGAGGAATATTTTTATCGAATATTTTTTTTTTGTGCCAGATTTAGACATAACCCCAGTTGTTATTACACTACATGGGATTACGTATTACTATTAGTATGAGAATTTTTCCGCATATGGTCATTTTTAAACAATTTTTCAACAATAAAACTATGTCTGCAATTATTACTCTCACCTGTCTTGTTCATTTGAAAACGCTTGTCAATTCACCTACTTTTTCGATCCAAATTAACAAAAAAGAAACTATCGAAAAGCTCAAGGAAACAATTAAAGAGAATAATGCACCCGATTTTGATAAATTCACAGCCAAAAATCTCAAACTGTGGAAGATTGACATTGCCGATGATCCTCGTCATTATTTTACTGAATATTATCTAGGAGAGATTTATGATCACAGAAAAGAGATATCTACGACAGGACATGTTGAAGACTACTGGACTGATACACCACCCAAAGGGAATATCCATATTATAGTTGAGCCGCCTGTACAAGTGATATTCATCCCGGTGCATGGAGCACCAGTGGTGAAGATTAAACCTCATAATATTGAGTTCAAGGAAATGGTCGGTTGTGAACAAACTGAACTGTATGTACATGATTCAGTTTTCTTGTCATTCCATTGTTTCGTATGTCTAATGTTTTCTTTGACTGTTATCTACCCAATAGGAAACCTGTTTTATATGGACTACCTGATTATGACCTCTATATGTATCTTGATGATACTGGACTTTTAAAAGATCTGCCAAGAAACGCCTTGGCAACTTGTTTATTATATGGAAGAAAAATGGATCAAGTTCCTGGAGTACGAGGACACGTTGTGCTCTACGATTCTTACAAGCAGCTAACCCTTGATGACTTTCGATTCATACTTTCCACTGCACAAAACCTCAATTGATATACCAATGGGTTAAAAAAAAAATTTTCGACATTATCAGAAATAACAGACATATATATAAATCACTCATTTTTTTTTGGAAAATAAATTCATGATATACATACCATAATAATTAATATCAATTCGTTTTTTTATTTTGATGTTTGTTAACTAAATTGTCACCAATAACCAACAATTGTTTAAAATGTATTCATAATAACGGAATCCACATTTTATTGATAGTATACTTGTGATTATGATTTGCTTAACTTGATATAAATTCCATAATTTATATTTATTTATATTCTCACGACTTTTTTCATTTTCAGATCAATTAGATGTCAGAAATACAAATGCCAAAAGTTTTCATAATTGAATATTTTTTATTGGTACGTTTTCTAAAGAAAAACCTTTCAAAAATGATTTCATGTATCCAAGTAAAAAAGTTTTTGCAGAAAGCCACTTTGAAACTTTGGTTTTAAATAGATCAAAACTTTTACTTGATTTGATTAACACAAGGAAATAATATAATTATATATAAACTTTTGATTAGAAAATGATTGCATATTTATTTAACTCGAGTTTAATAATTAATTTTAACGGAGATTTTATTTATTAGAAAAGAATAAATCATTTGTCCTACTTTACACGTCACATTAATACTAATTCAAATGAAAGTTTTTTTTTTTTAAATAAATACTATTTTGATGCATTAATACCAAAAGTTGAAATGTCATTTGTAAAATTATTAACGCCGGACTGAAACGATGTTGCAGATAAAATTTATAAATAATATTGCTATTCCAATCACAACCAGTGTTGGAAATTTTGTCCAATTGGACATAATAATAAAGTGTTATTTTTTATATTTATTTGCATCAATTGTAAATTTTTTAATAATATTATATTAATATATTAATTTTAACTCAAAATATTAACTGGTGCATTCAAAAATACACAACACATTTAAAATAAAATTTTTAATAAAAAGAATGAAAACACAAAAAAAAAAAAATCTAAGACTAATTAATCTGTATGACCTGTAAAAAGAGTTAAATTAATATACATTGTGAATCAATCAATTCAAGTATAAGATGATTTAATAATTATAGTCAAAAAATATATATATAAAATATAAAATTCACATACATACAAACAATTTCTTTTTTGTGTGGAAAAAATCCATTGCAGAAAAAAGCCTTTCCACAGAAGCAGTATTTATGCATATTGCAAATACTTTGTAGAAAAAATATTCAAATCTGGTGTATAAGCTGAAACAAAATCCCAAAAGCCAAGTACACCATCATTAAATTGTTTTAATGAAATATTGTGAAAAGGAAAATTTTGTCTATGATAATTTTGTAATTCACCTAACAAAGTATCAGGAACTTTTTTAAACCATACACAAAAATAATATATCATCCATTCACTGAGGTTTGCAATAGAAATAGATGTATTATCTTGAAGAAAAATTTTGTCATAATATTCAGGATGAAGAATGAAGGATAATAATAATAATGGTTGCTCCCATATTTGCCAATGTTTTTCTAGACGAATAGTCATCCTTGCACTTAAATTTTGGTCAGGGTACTCCTTCCACATCTTGTAAAAATAAGCAAAACAATGTATATAGTACATCATGAAGACAAGCATTATCTGTTTGTAACTTGTTGAGTGCACCACAAAATGGAAGCAAAAGCTTTTCCAATTTTTTAATATCCTTCCACCAATCTTCATTAGCAATTATTCTACACATTTCAAGTGGCATTTCTATATCATTCTCATCATTTCCTGTATAATTATCATCTGCTTCAAATTCACTAGAGCATATTTTGAAACAAGCATCTAAAAAAATATAAGAATTAATTCTTATTGAATAAAAACCTTAATGATATTTTTTAAATACCTTTAAAGCAAACTTGGTTCTCAACAAACTGGAGTAGCAGTGATAATGAGAATTCCAGCAAGTAGCACATGGAAGGAGAAGTGCAAAATATTTGTTATATTTAAACTTTTGTTCATCACGTAACTTTGCCATAAAGTAAACTGATCTGTTTAAGAAAGAAATGATTTGAATTGCCTTTTGAGATGAAACAACTAAACTAGATGATTCTTTAAATATCTCTCCAACAATTAAATTGGTTTGATGTGCAAAACAAGGTATATATGCTGGTCGCAATTCTTGGTGATTGTTGCAACCATATTTGCGACACCTGGTTGCAACCACTTTGCGACCACTTTAGTTTCCTTTTTTGGATTGCGACATGAAACACTAAAACAAGGACCAAAAAAAACATCACATTGTTCTGGTGCCAGCCATTTTCTATAAATATAAAAATTAAACTTACAAATAATTGAATAAAAATTTATTTTAAAAAAATACCTTGCTGCTTGATTTTGTGATGCTGAATCAGTAATCATAGCATTATATTTGATATTTAGTTCATCTAACTTGTCCAAAAAATTCAATGATAATTCTTTTATATTTTGCCATTGCAAACAATTTCTACTCACATCTTCCCCTCCCCAAATTAAAACTTGTCCATGTGAAGTAATTAAAACTGAACCTAAAATCTCTTGCTTTTTAATGTTTTTTCACCCATCAAAGCCTATTGTAACACCAAAAAAATCCTTCTGTGCAATACAATGAAGCAACTAATCCTGTCAGTTTTTTCATCTAGTCTACATGACACAGGTTTAAAATATGCTGATACTGCTGATATTTTTTTTTGTATCAATCTGATATCCATGAGATGAACTGATTATCAATAATAATAACTATTATTGTTATTTACGGAAGCAAAAAATTAATATGGATCTTTTAATTAATCTATTTTAATAAAATAATATTTACTATCCACCATGAGGTAAAACTAAACCCATTAAACATTCGTGTGGCTTTAATATAGCATAATATACATATAAAATTGCAATTGCACCTATAAATAATAATAATGATAATAAATAATAATAGAACTATTTTTATTCCTTTAATCATTACCAGATAATGATTGTACATTTACACTCCATTTTGATCCATCCAAATCATATACATCTAAGCATGTTTCTAACAAAGAGATTCTGCCTGATCAATATAATAATTCCCTCCATAATATCCAACATAACAATATATAATAAGTAAATATTCATAATTTATAAATTAAAATCTTGATAAATTATTGTTTTAACCTTGCGCCAGGATAACCTTTTGAATATTTATTTTGTCCTAATGCTTCCATAACATAATGACATATATTTCTTATTTGATGATTTTGGGTAGAAAGATAACAAGGATGTAATATTTATATGTGATATTTGGTCTACCAATAAATTAATTATGTTTACATACTTTAGAAGAAATTAACACAACACTTTTATTTTGTCTTTTCTTTTTCAATAATATCAAAAGCAACAGGATAAATTTCCGCCAAATGTTGATTCATATTAATATACTAACAGTAATTATTAATAAATTAATCAAATTAGTAGTTCTTTTAAGAAATTTAAATTAATTTCAATATTGATTGATGCTTGATTAATTACTTTATGTTAAGTATTTGAAAAAAATAATTTCTCTAAATATAATTAGTTAATTGGATAAAAAAAATCATTAAAATTCTAAATTATATACATTCGCACATATTAAAATGCTTGCAATAATGGTTGATTTAGATAATTGATTTCTAAATGTTATAATTAATTGTTAACTTCGCAGATCATAATTTTATACCTCCTGAATGGCGATCACCTCTATAGCCTTTTCTAAATAACTAAAAGTAGAAATTTTAAGTGACTTCGTCGGACCTATTAAAATAAGATTTTTTTTGTCTAAATTAGTTTTATAAATACAAGCGGCAGAACCCATAAGCCCGAAACACAGGCTTGTTTTAACGTGACATAATTCTTTACCACCTTTTCCTTACCAATCCAAAATTTCCATCAATTTTATAATTATTAGTAATTGAGACACCTTTAGTGTCAATATCGATATTATCAATATCACCATTATCGTCACCGCCATAGTACTTCATTTGTAATCCTTTTTTTTTTGTGTACTAATATTTTTGATACAAGTGGGTTTTACAAATTTGTCATATTGAGCTAATTAATGTCGGCACCTATCTACACCAGGGCTGGCAGCGTAAAGGGGTTAAAAACCTAATTTAGTAACAATAAACTTGACTAAACTTGACTAAACTTGACTTAACATATGACTAAATAGTTTAGTCAGTTTAGCCAAGTTCTCATTTGAGTTACGCAGCCAGCCCTGATCTACACTCTATATTAATATTGATTTTTTTTAGAGTGTATATCGCATTACAGTTATTTTATAATGGTGTTGGGCAACTTTTTTTCACATATAAACTTTGTTTGTTTAAAAAGGAAATTTACTAACACTGCTAACTAGTTGAATACACATTTCACCAAAATATATTATTTTAATGATAATAATACGCATTGTAACGATAGTACATATTAATACGGAATTTATGACATACTGAAATGGTACGTTTTTGACGCGTATGAAACATACGAAAACAAAAACATACCATTTCAGCATTAGTAGTATGTCATGAATTCCGCACCTATTCCGTAGGTTTTGTACGCAAAAAACTACTAATACACTTTCATATTAATATTCAGTATTTCACATACTTGATGCAAGGAGTAACGTACTTGTTACTTTTACAGGCGTGATTGTGAATATTTGAAATCGATAATTAGAATTTTGGGTGGGTTACACGAACCATCAAAAAAAAATTGAGATTTATCATTTTAAAATAATAAAATTTACCGCGCGTTGTTATAATTATTATTCTTTGCTGATTCAAATTCAAGTTATTAATTATTATTAATGGATTTCCATATATGTTAGCCGAATTGATTTTCGAAATATGCCAAACTCTTCCTCAACCATTGATGAAATTGCAGTGTGTATTTTTGAGGAGTATTAATATTTTATAAAGTTGAATTCTGAATCACTAATTTAAAAAGATAATGTATATGTGTACGTGAAATTAAATTTATGTAAATTTGAAATTCACATTACCAACAATGAAAAAATTCCAACAAAAAGTAGACTAATGACTTTTTTTTTATTTGTACATGTAATGTGCACACAATATACATTCACATCTCAAATGTTAAAAATGATAAGAAAAAATATTTGTAATAACAATCGATAATTTCATATGTTTAGGGAGATTGATAATTTGCTATCTATTACCATGATAGTGTGAAAATGTCCAAAGTATGTAATAGTTGATATGAGTGAAAAACTTTGGAATTAATAAAAGTATTATCATTACAGCATCTTTTGATAGAAAATGTCAGAGTGAGCAAATATAATAAATATTTTCATTTGTTATGGCTATTTAAATATTGAATCTCTGGTGTTTATATATACAATTCTTTGATTTTTGTGAAACAGTAAAATCCTTTTTAAAATAATCATTTATTATTGTACAACAAATAAACCATTTTCTACCTAAAAAAAAATGCTTAATTTTCCACCTGAACTCTTAACTGAAACATTCAAATACATTGAAGATGATGACTATAAAACATTATATTCTTGTATTCTTGTCAACAAACAATGGTACAATATTAATATTCCAACTTTATGGAGAAATTCATTGGTTGTAAACAGCGTCAAAATCAAAATATTAATTAATTGTTTATTGAAAGAAGAAGATAAGGATTTCTTGACTACAAATGGCATTGAATTAAATTTTGAACTATTGGAGAAACCACCATTACATAATTACGCTAAATTTTGTACTAGAATTGTTTTTTCCAATTATTGTATTGATTTTGGATGGCTGATAAAAAACTTTAATATTTTTGAACTAACCTCTGCACAAATTTTACAAAATAGATTAATAAAATTTATTTTAGATCATTCAACAGGTATTAGAGAGCTTAGTTCTAGATGTATAGATCATAATTTGTTAATTAATCATCATAGATTTGATAATATCTTTCAGAATCTTTATGAATTACATTGTGATAATTTTGTTTTGAGTGGTGAGTTGTTTGATGAATTAACAAAGATTTGTAAAAATATTCAATCATTAAAAATATTTTATGGTAATGATAAAAATAAAAATCGTCATAGTTTAGCACAGCTAATTAAGGCACAAAAGCAAATTAAATATTTAGTAATTGAAACATGTAATTTATCAGATGAAAATATTTTACCAGATGAATTGAAAGAAGCAATATTAACACATTCACAATCAATAACCCTTTATGAATCTACTAGTAAAAAAAAAAATTCAGACAATTCATTAATAACATCATTTAAAAATTTAAAGGCTTTATCATTAACAACTGTTGATAATGGACTAAAAAATTTGAAAAATACTTCACTGCCATATATTGAATCTCTGAGGTTACATAATATATGTCAATTATCCATGCCAACCTTGCGCAATTTTATTAATACCAATGGAGGAACTCTTAAACATCTGTATGTTAATAGTAATAAATCTTGTAACAAAAAATATATCAAAGTTCCAAGGAGACTGTTTCAATCAATTGCACAACGTTGTAAAAATTTAGAAGATTTATCTATATTTTATGATAATGAATTAGACCAGGAATTAATGGAAGTACTAAATAGTTGCACAAAGTTAAAAAGTATTAATTTTAATACTTATCTTTGCTCTGGTGATAAAATAATAACAGTATTAAATCAAACACTACCAAAAAAATTAGGGTCAATAATTTTTACTCGAGGAGTTTTTTCTGATATTGGTGACCATTCATTAGCTAATCTAATGAAAAATTGGAGAGGACCCAAACCTGTAACAATGAAATTTTATAATTATAATGATTATGCATTATTAAAAAAATATCAAGATTTAGGATTTTTAAATATTTAAAATTATTTCATGTAATTTTTTTTTATTTATTATTATATATATTTATTATTTCATGTTATATTATAAACAATGTTATCTGATATACATATATCATTACAATAAAAAAATTTTCTTTTCTAAACAATAAAATTTATTAAGAACTGCAAACACAACAAATATAAGAAAGGTGCTCCACCACCAAAAAAAACATTTTTAGTGTCAGCAATAATAACAATTGATTCAATTGATTTTTTAAATTAAATACTTACTAATGCTAACTACAATAAAACAATGCATTTCTTAAAATGTAAAATAAACAAAATTATTATTATTATTATTATTGCACAATAAACATTTCTCACATGGAAAAAAATCCTTCACAAAAAAACAAGTTTTAAAACAGATATTTTTTCTATTCATATTCTGCATTGTTCACTCCCTTCATTTCACCTCACCTCACACTCATTAAAGATTAAGCACAAAATTGGGTTGATTGCGCCAAAAACAAAAAAACCAAAGTATAAACTTATTGTAAGAAGTAAATGTACTTTATCCAAGGAGTCGATGTGCTTGCTTGATGTAAGAAAGAAATGTAATTGATGCAAGGAGTAACATACTTGTTACTTTTACAGGCGTGATTGTGAATATTTTGAAATCAATAATTAAAATTTTGGGTGGGTTACACGAACTATCAAAAAAAATTGAGATTTATCATTTTAAAATAAATTTGTTGATTCAAATTCAAGTTATTAATTATTATTAATGGATTTCCATATATGTTAGCCAAATTGTTTTTCTAAATATATATGCCAAACTCTTCCTCAACCATTGATGAAATTGCAGTGTGTGTATTTTTGAGGAGTGTTAATATTTTATAAAGTTGAATTCTGAATCACTAATTTAAAAAGATAATGTATATGTGCGCGTGAAATTAAATTTATGTAAATTTGAAATTCACATACATAAAATTCAAATTAGCCAAAATTTTAATCATATATACAAAAAACCCTTATTAGTAAAAATATAAAAAATGGAATCTTTGTTTACTTCATAATATATTTTATAAATGATATAGTAATAGGTGATAGGTCTACCACAGGGTCCATCACATACAGAGTGAAGAAGTCAGGATGTTTGTTACTAAATTAGGAGCCAGTAATTCAAAAGTGTTCAATTATGAAAGTTCTAAAATATTATAAAAATAAAATTTCTTTGATTGTAGGCAGACTTGCAATAAAATGTGATAAAATCCATAAAGAAATTTTATCTTTAATTTTTCTGTGTTAAAATTATATATTAATAATATTTATTTTTTAAAGGTTACCATTACCCAACATACAATTTTGAATGTTTCTCTAACTTGTTAACATATGATCTCCCTATTTCACCATCATCTGAAAGCCAATTGATTAAAAAAGCATCCTTTCCTGAACAATTAACTGTTAGTGTTGGAGACCAGTACCAACAATGAAAAAGTGCCAATGAAAAATAGACTAATGACTTTTTATTTATTTATACATGTAATGTGCACACAATATACATCCACATCTCAAATGTTAAAAATGATAAGAAAATCAATAATTTCATATGCTTAGGGAGATTGATAATTTGCTATCTATTACCATGATAGTGTGAAAATGTCAATTGTGGTCCAAAGTATTGTTACCGGAATTAGATTTTGACGAGATCTTTTGGTCGAATCTCTTAATTCCGGGACAATTTAAATTTCATTTTTATTTCTATTTTTATTTTTATTTTTATTTTTATTATTATTTTATTTAATCTATGTATAATAATTATTTATTATCATCTGAATTCGTGTTACGTTTCGCGTATTATTATTATTAATGATCAATCCGTAGCACATTCATATTTATTTAACTTTAATTAGTAGAGATTAATGACGATTCTCCCGAATCGCTCAAAACGTGCGGATTCGCCCAAGTACAAAGTGAGCGAAAACGCGCAATTTGAGCGGAATTTCCCAAACCCGAGCGGATTCGTGCAATTCGGGCTAATATGTAAATGAACATGTATATAAAGAGCTTGATTTCGACCTAATGTAAAAGTAACTTTCTTACAAGTTAATTAGTTTCGACTAAGGAAAACTTTGTTATAAGTTAATTAGTTTCGACTAAGGAAATAACTTTGTCATAAGTTAATTAGTTTCGACTAAGGAAAACTTTGTTATAAGTTAATTAGTTTTGACTAAGAAAACTTTCTAACAAGTTAATTAGTTTCGACTAAATAAAACTAAATAAATAAAGTAGTAATATTTTATTTAAATAAACTTTTATCTTCTTTAACCAAATTATTCACTAATAACAAAATTAATTCGTTGATCCCCTATTCATTCTGATCCATGCAAAAACAAAAATAATTGTTATCACCAATTAAAATATGCTCTCCCGAATTTAATTGGTGACAGTATGTAATAGTTGATATGAGAGAAAAATTTTGGAATTAATAAAAGTATTATCATTACAGCATCTTTTGATAGAAAATGTCAGAGTGAGCAAATACAATAAACATTTTCATTTGCTATGGCTATTTAAACATTGAATCTCTGGTGTTTATACAATTCTTTGATTTTGTGAAACAGTAAAATCCTTTTTAAAATAATCATTTATTATTGTACAACAAATAAACCATTTTCTACCTAAAAAAAAATGCTTAATTTTCCACCTGAACTCCTAACTGAAACATTCAAATACATTGAAGATGATGACTATAAAACATTATATTCTTGTATTCTTGTCAACAAACAATGGCACAATATTAATATTCCAACTTTATGGAGAAATCCATTTGTTGGAAACAGCATCAAAATATTAATTAATTGTTTATTGAAAGAAGAAGATAAGGAATTCTTGACTATAAATGGCATTGGATTAAATTTTGAACTATTGGAGAAACCACCATTATATAATTATGCTAGATTTTGTACTAGAATTGTTTTTTTCAATTATTATACTAATTTTGGATGGCTGATAAAAAAAATTAACTATAGACAAATTTTACAAAATAGATTAATAAAATTTATTTTAGATCATTCAGCAGGTATTAGAGAGCTTAATTCTAGATATATAAATCATAATTTGTTGATTAATCATCATAGATTTGGTAATATCTTTCAGAATCTTCGTGAATTACATTGTGATAGTTTTGTTTACAGTGAGTTGTTTGATGAATTAACAAAGATTTGTAAAAATATTCAATCATTAAAAATATCTTATGGTTATGATAAAAATAAAAATGCACATAGTTTAGCACAGCTAATTAAGGCACAAAAGCAAATTAAATATTTAGTAATTGAAGCATATTTTTCAGGTGAAAATATTTTACCAGGTGAATTGAAAGAAGCAATATTAACACATTCACAATCAATAGCCTTTTATGAATCTACTAGTGGAAGAAAAAATTCAGACAATTCATTAATAACATCATTTAAAAATTTAAAGGCTTTATCATTAAAAACTGTTGATAATGGACTAAAAAATTTGAAAAATACTTTACTGCCATATATTGAATCTCTGAGGATACATAATATATGTCAATCATCTGTGCCAACCTTACGTAATTTTATTAATACCAATGGAGGAACTCTTAAACATCTGTATGTTAATAGTAATAAACTTTGTAACAAAAAATATATCAAAGTTGCAAAGAGACTGTTTCAATCAATTGCACAACATTGTAAAAATTTAGAAGATTTATCTATACTTTATGATAATGAATTAGACCAGGAATTAATGGAAGTACTAAATAGTTGCACAAATTTAAAAAGTGTTAATTTTAATAATACTCATCTTTGCTCTGGTGATAAAATAATAACAGTATTAAATCAAACACTACCAAAAAAATTAGGGTCAATAATTTTTACTCGAGGAGTTTTTTCTGATATTGGTGACCATTCATTAGCTAATCTAATGAAAAATTGGAGAGGACCCAAACCTGTAACAATGAAATTTTATTATGATGATTATGCATTATTAAAAAAATATCAAGATTTAGGATTTTTAAATATTTAAAATTATTTCATGTAATTTTATTTATTTATTATTATATTTATTCATTTAGTTATACATACAATACAATATATTTATTATTTCATGTTATATTATGCACAATGTTATCTGATACTATTATTTGTAGTTGGAAATGATTATTTGTTTGTTAAATGGTATTTAGTATTAGCCTATAACTATTTTATATATATATATCATCTAATCATTACAATAAAAAAAATTTCTTTTCTAAAAAATAAAATTTATTAAGAACTGCACTAAATATTAAACACAACAAATATAAGAAAGGTGCTCCACCACCAAAAAAAGCATTTTTAGTGTCTGCAATAATAACAATTGAATCAATTGATTTTTTAAATACTTACTAATGCTAACTACAATAAAACAATGCTTTTCTTAAAATGTAAAATAAACAAAATTATTATTATTATTATTGCACAATAAATATTTATCACATGGAAAAAAATCCTTCACAAAAAAAACAAGTTTTAAAACAGATATTTTTTCTGTTCATATTCTGCATTGTTCACTCCCTTCATTTCACCTCACCTCACACTCATTAAAGATTAAGAAATAAAACAGCACAAAATTGGGTTGATTGCGCCAAAAACCAAAAAAACAAAAGTATAAACTTATTGTAAGAAGTAAATGTACTTGATCCAAGGAGTCAATGTGCTTGATGTAAGAAAAAAATGTATTCCGTGCCTATTTCATACCTTGTGTTAAATTTTAAAAAGGGCAAATTTTTCAAATCGCATAATAAGTCTGTATTTATTTTTTTAGAATGTACTTAATATTAACATAAGGAAATTCCGTGTGTTGTTTTTTATATGGTTGGCTCGGTCTAAAGACCTCCTATTTCTGCGCCACGTGGCCAAATTTCAAAAATAGCAATTTTGTAATTT